TTCCACTAGTATTTCAGACAGCTTTTGGACTGCTTCATGGCTTATATCACTATGCTTTATCTAAAAAACTACATGCAAAATCTGTGCCTGGAGACTAACCAAAGAACCAGAGAAGGCCCGGCTGGCAGACTGGACTCTTTGGTAAGGGACTTGGGTGCTGGTCAAAGAGTGGGAAGCTGCGCTGCTCCTTTTGACTACTGTGTATCAAATACTCAGTAAATACAACTGGAAAACAAGTGCAAGTTTCATCCTTCTTTCTTTGTTGTGTATAGAAATAGGTTTGGTGGGGCTGGAGAGATGGCTCAGAGGTTAAGAGCACTGACTGCTCTTCCAGAGGTCCTGAGTTCAATTCCCAGCAACCACATGGTGGCTCACAACCATCTGTAATGAGATATGATGCCCTCTTCTGGTAAGCAGGCAGAATCTGTATACTAGATAGATAGATAGATAGATAGATAGATAGATAGATAGATAGATAGATAGATAGATAGATAGATAGATAGATAGGTAGATAGGTAGATAGATTGATTTTAAGAAAAAAAGAAAGAAAAAGAAAAATGGGTTTGGCACCTCAGGTCTTACCTACGCCAATTAGTGTGCATCTGGGACTATGCATGTTGTACAGAATGAGCCCTAGAGACCTCTCAGAAGAGGAATATGAAATCCGAGCACGTAGTGTAAGATGGTGTGAGAGATACACATATGTGAGGGACCTGAGGTTGTAACTGTTAACTGTTTAGGCAGATGATGTAATGGGGGAAGTAGCATGAGCTAAATGTTGAAGGGGGAATTGGAAGTTCATAAGGGGAAATTAGGAGGTCCTTGTGCTCACAGATAAGCATTATTAGGGGAGCCAGGAATGTTAAACACAGGATTGTCTCTTCAAAGGGAGTAATATATAACTTGGTTTAATTTTTCTCTACGAAGGGATCATTGATCAATCCATACTAGGTCTTTCCTATTGTGAGGGAAGGAAAAACAAAGCCTAAGGGCAGCCAAGCTGCAGTGGGCCATGCAGCAGTGGACTACCTAACTCAGGCAATGCCATCAGACTCCCCTCCCCACTGGGCCAGAACTGGACAGCAGAAAGGGCCACAGAGCTGAGGGCTCTGAGTTCTAGTCAGACTGCACAGGAGGGCTAGCCCTGAACACATCTGACTCAGTACTAACAGAAACTGGCTTCAGAGTCCACAAGATCTGTCCTGGTGTGGAATATTTGTAGACTATGTTGTACATGTGTAGCTGATTGGTGTAATAAGAAGCTGAATGACCAGTATTTAGGCAGGAGCGGATACGTGGGATTTCTGGAGAGAGAGGGGAAGAAAAAAGGAACCCAAGAATGAGAGTCACTAGCCATATGCAGAAGCAGCAGGACGGACAGGATGTAGCGAGGTAACACAATTGTGGAAGAACATAGATTAAAAAATACACGTGAAGTTATAAGAACTAGTTAGGAACAAGCCTAAGCTAAGGCCTATCTTTTAGAGTAAGCCTGTGTGAGCTCACAGCCCAAAGAAAGATGACAGCTGGCATTTTTTTAATGGTCTTCCTGAGAGGGTCCAAGCAATACATTACTGCAGTCCAGACTGCAAAATAATTGACAGGGATTTTTATTCCCCTTTTCTGGCTCTTTTTGCATTCGCTCCTATGCACTTGAAATTATCAACACCAGTGGGTCCTTGTTTAGGAAAGCAAGGATTGAATGTTATGGTCATCGGTACAAAGCTGCAGAGCTGACACTCTGAATAGTTTGCCCCTTTGGATCTTCACAGGTGTCTCAGTCAGTCACATAAAATGCTTTGCATCAGAGGACCGAGAAGAACCATGCTTATTTCACTCTCTCACGGTTGGGACCCCTTGAGTGAAGTAACTCCTACTCTTCTACTTCCTACTTGTAACTCCTACAACTCCTACTCTCCGCTTCTGCTTACGGAAAGATTTCCTTACCTTCTCCAAGGGTCAAGCCCCATATATTCAGCGGCAATTGGAGGGATCTCTCCAACTCCCAGGGCCAGCAGAGGATCCAAGACAGGAGAGAAGGCAGTTCAATTCAACAAGACTCAGTAGCAGGTGTTGGCTCAAACTTCAAGGCTCTGACCTTGTGTAGCTTAGGCATATTTAAGCACAAACAAATTATTAAAAAGTTTCCTAGTGATAATTAACTCAATCCCATGTGCGTAACAAAGCTTAAGACTACATCAAAACTCTCTGTAAAGTGACATCTTCCATAAAGATAGGTTCTAATAGGTTGACTGAGAAAAACAAGCTCAAGTGTCTTGGGGAGGATCTAATGTGGTCTTGGCCATACAGATAATACAAAGGTTAACCATGTCCACTCCCAGCCTTCTGGGTAGAAACAGGTTATACACCCCTCCCTTTGAAGAGACAACCCTGTGCGGTCAACGCTTCTGTTTCCCCTGGTGTTGTCTGCTGTGGATAGTGCTCTTGTACTGTAAAGATTTGTCATCACTCATATTGGTTTAATAAAGCATTGATTGGCCAGTAGCCAGGCAGGAAGAATAGGAGGGGTGACCAGACTAGGAGAATTTTGGGCAGAGGAAAGGCAGAGAGGCAGTCACCACCAGACACAGAGGAAACAAGATGAGAATGCCTTACTGAGAAAAGGTACCAAGCCATGTAGCTAAACATAGATAAAAATTGTGGCTTAATTTAAGTTGTAAAAGCTAGTTAATAAGCCTGAGCTAGTAGGCCAAACAATTTATAAGTAGTATAAGCCTCTGTGTTTCTTTGGGACTGAACGGCTGCAGGACCAGGCGGGACAGAAACTGTCTATAGTTATCTGTGAACATAAGGACATTCATGCCTCCTACAGAAAAGCATCCCACTGTTCTCTCCCCTGAATCAGTATACTAAGCAGATTCTTATTTACAATTACCTTCACTTACAATCGAAATACTCACCACATAACTGCATGTCATATGTGAAAAACCAGAAGTGTAGTGATTCAGTCACTGTCCTAAGGACGGACGAAATCTGAAGCATTTACAGCACTTTCTCTTGGAATCTGCTGAGTCATTCAGTTGTGAATGAACACTGACGAGAAAAGGAATAAAATAAAATCTCACTGTACCTTATCTACTTCAAATCATCTTTTCTGAGGCTAGAGTGACATTCAAAGGTCGAGTGCACTTGTTGCTGAAACTTGAGGACCAGATTTGGATCCCAGCATCCACACAACAAGCTGGACATGCCCCCATGCATGCCTGCAGTCTACTGCTGTCTGGGGGGCCAACCTCCAGCAGTACGAGGCTTTGAGAGGAATCCATGGAGTTGGCCTAAGCTAGACTTTTTCTGTCTGAGGGGGGTTTAGGGAAAGAAACACTCTCTTGATGGCTTCCTTCTTTATTCTCTGTTCTCCCATTCTTTCTGTGTTCTTTCTCTACTGTATACTTTCTTTCTACAGCTTATATGCTCTGTTGCAAGTAAGTTTTTCAGACAATATAGGAATTACAGTGTGGTTACATTCTGTTTCTCAAGTGAATGATTACAATGAATACAAAACAAACACTAAAAACAGCATGTTTTCCATATCTCTTACATGATTAAACGTTTTATATATTACAGGTGAAAAACAAATTATCCCAAAGGCTCGCATGCATTCATACCCAACCAACTTGTTGTAGATTCACTGTGTAGGCAAGCAAGGTGTTCTTGTCAGGTCTTCTACTGGCAGGCTGCATTTTGCAGTTACAAGGAAAGGGCCAATCACTTTATTACTTACCTTGAAAGGGAATCTTACCAGGACTCTTGAAGGAACCACAAACCTAAACTTTTATATACGAAAAACAGTCAGCTCTAGTTTAAATCTCTAGGGTACATACCCACTCACCAAGAGTTTTTTTATATCACTAGATTGAGGGCAGAAATAGGTATAATGAATTAATTATCACCTTTTGTCATCAACCAATCCTAGCAAGAAAGGTACATCAGCCAACTATAATTGGGCTACATTGTTCTTGTTCCCTGATCTTAACGAGTTCTGCATTCAAACTCTGCCTTTCTAAAACTTCAGATTGTCTTCTTGGGTTTTTCACCTCAAAGCTATTTAACAAGAACATCTTAGTCTAACTTTGTCATTTGCAAAGCTTTTTTCAGCTGTGATGCCCTCTGAACCCTGTGTGCACATCTCCCAGCACTGAGGGTAAAAGAATTTAAACTAGCGGCCTACTGGGACTCAGTTGTTAATCATTAACTTATGCTACGACCTGTGCTCTTCCTTAAGTGAAATTCTTTGGCCCTGGCTGTGAAACATATCCTTTTATATTTTTTATTCATCAAAACTCTGTATAGGGAATCATTATCAATTCAGACAGTACAGCTTAGGGAAGGGTCCTTTTTGACAATCCACAGATAAAAATGCCCAAGAGAATGGGGTGTTTCCAAGAGCTAAACATATTACAGGCAGTGGCGATCTCCCCACATCCACTCACACCATGCTGAATACCAGAGAAGAGTTGCAGAAAACTTGTAAAGGCACAGCAGAAGCAAAAGGCATTCTGGGGTCTGCAGTGTCGTGGCCTTGCCTAAACGAGATTGATCGATCAGTTTCTCCTAATGGGCTGACACCCGGAACTTCAGTTGCCACCAGCTGCTCCTCTGGGATGGCCACTGACAGTAGGTCCCAGTGCTGAGTGGGACAGAGGCAAAAAGAATATCGGGACTGTGTCTGCCAGCATTGCCAAAAGACACAAGATCCAATTCAGTGAGAGGCCCTGCTTGAAAAGGAGGAGGACAGTGATGGAGGA